ACTTACGGCCGATGTTGCCGGCTTTACACGAGTCATCTGCCCTCGAACGAAAGGGAGGAATTTTGATTCTTTATTCATGAATGACATTAACTTAATGTACGTACTTGATGAAAGAGGTTATTAATTACAGTTACTTTAATACATGAATTTCTCAAAAATTATAATTTAAATACAAGAAGCTGGTGACCGTCGCTTACACACCACTGCTCTAATCCCTTGGGGTGACCCTACTCAACTTTCCAAGGCAGAACTACCATTCCACTGCATATTTTGTAACAAGGGCATATCCATACTACCTTCAATACAGTCACCTATTTAAACCAGCTTCGACTGTTACATGATGACCCAAAGGAAGGACACTATTTGCCACACCATGCAGTACTGAAAATTTCACCCACTATTCCACTGAGGATAGTATTGACCTGCAGTGCCTAGACCATGCAGAATAGTGTCTCGTTGAATGACTGCCTTCAAACTCACCCTAGCCTGACACAAAGGCTGTACGACGTGCTGTTAAAGTTCCACATAAGAACTTATGCATGCATGGCCAATATAAGTAAGGCATTCCTTAGGGCAGGTCTCCTGGAAGAAGACCATAACTACACAAAGTTCCTATGGTGATCCAAACAGTGAATTAATCACATACGGGTTTGCTTAAGTTATGTTTGGAGCTACTTCTTCACCGTTTCTACTGCAAGCTACCTTAGATACGCATTTGAAGAAGTCTAATAGCCCAAAAATACTTAAATTAGCAACCACCTGTATATGGACAATTTCCAGGGAACCACGAGCAGTGAAGAAAAACTGCTAAACATATATCATGAGGCCCATTGAGAGTTGTTGGGAGCAAATATGCTTCTCCAGTCGTTGGCCTCCAATAATACCAGCTTAAAACAACTGATTGAATCAGAATTTCACGACTACAAGATACCCCAGAGGACAAAGGTACTAGGTATCAAATGGGATACAACTTCGGATCAGTTGACCATCAAATTGGTGGAAACAGATACCACCAACCTAATAATGAGGAAACTAAATTCAAATTCAAATTCAAATTCAAATTCAAATTCAGGTAAAGTACATACATACAAGGGCTGATACAAATATTGATGAATTTATAGATAGAGCTAGTACATACAATGCCTAAAGCCACTATTACGCAAAGCATTTCGGGCAGGAAAAACACTAAGACTTAAACTTAATACTAATTGAGATTAAAGTATAAAATGTGTTGAGAAAAAAATTAAAATAAAAAAGGGGGGAACATGGCAGAAAAACAGCAAAAATACAATTTGGTCGACAAACAGCTTTGTTTAAAAATGACAGACATGGGTTGACATTATAGGGGTAAGGTAGGTTTCAGCGAGTCAATTAGGTAGTGCTTAGTTTTTATCTTAAACTGGTTGAGAAAGGTACAGTCTTTAACATGATTGTGAAGGTCATTCCACATTCTGGGTCCCTTGATTTGTAGAGCATTTCTAGTTTGATTAAGTCGTACTCTTGGAATATCAAAAAGGTATTTGTTTCTGGTGTGGTGCTCATGGGATCTGTTACAACCTTCAATGAAGCTTTTAAGGTCAAGATTGGCATTACAGTTCAGCGTTTTATATATATATAATACACAAGAGAGGATGTGCAGTGACTTAATATCTAACATATTCAGAGAATTGAGTAGGGGTGCCGAGTGATGTCTGGGGCCAGAGTTGGATATTGTCCTAATATCAGCTTTGTGTTGAGTAATTAGAGGACGTAAATGATTTTGGGTAGTGGAACCCCAAGCACAAATACAATAGTTGAGATAAGGATAGATGAGTGAGTAATAGAGTGTCACCAGGGCAGGGCGAAGTACATAATATCTGATCTTAGAAAGAATGCCAACAGTTTTTTTATTTTTTTTTTATATATTTAGAATGTGTCCCTGGAAATTAAGCTTGTGGTCAATGAGAATGGCAAGGAATTTGCCATCTATTTTGTTACAAATTTGGGTATTATTTATCCTGAGATTTATTTGATTTGAGGATTTATTGCCAAACAAAATATAGAAAGTTTTGTCAATGTTGAGGGTGAGTTTGTTGGCAGTTAGCCAAAGATGGACTTTATTTAGCTCAGTATTCACTGTGACATTAAGAGCAAGAGGGTCAGGACTGGAGTAAATGAAGGTTGTGTTGTCAGCAAATAAAATTGGTTTGAGGTGTTGGGAGGCATTTGGAAGGTCATTAATGTAGATGAGAAAGAGGAGAGGGCCAAGTATGCTGCCCTGGGGAACACCAATGTTGATGGGTAGGGTGGGAGAAATTGAATTATTCACAGAAACATACTGGAGCCTGTCAGTAAGGTAAGATTTGAGGTATTGCAGGGAGTGACAGTGCAGGGAGTGAAACTACTATCCCAAGTCAGCAAACCCCTTCGATCCATTGCGACTAATAAGTCCTATATTGATAAATGGGAAGTTGTTAATGCTGGAATGCTGGCAAGAGAAGATAGGCTGGGATGATCCTCTAACAACTGCCTTGTAAGAAAAGTGGCAGGGGCTGGTGAAGGATCTAAGTATCCTAGAGTATGTTAAGTTCCCTCGAAACACAGTACATAAAAAACAACAAATTAAGCTACATGTGTTTTGTGATGCCTCAGGAAAGGCTTATGCACCGTGGCTTACCTAGACTCGATTGATCAAGTAAATTTGCTCACTTAAAAAAGCCAGGGTGGCACCATTGAAGAAACGGTCATTGAAATAACTGGTGTTAATAGCAATACTGCTAGGAGCAAGATTGGCTCATTATCTGATCAATGTCCTAAGTAACATCCACTTTGAAGAAACAGTGTTATGGTCAGATAATGAGTCAGTACTACAGTGGGTGAGATATAACAATAGCAAAACTCCTTATGCGAGTAACCTCGTTAAGGAAATTAGAGAATTGTCAGCATTGTACAAACTGAGATACGTATCCATCAAAGAGAATCCAACTGACTATCTCCCAAGAGACCTGACTTTACGGCAATTAGCCAAAGCAGAGAAGTGGTTCAATGAACCTCAGTAGCTAGTCAGTGAACAGTGGCCTAAAGAAAAGCCACAAGTCATTGTGACCAATGTTTCTGCTCGTACTGAGAATCCAAAACCACCTCGGACTCTGGTAATTGATCCTAATCGATACTCTGAACTGAACAAACAAATAGGTGTGAAACAAGTGGTGTTCGATTTCCTAAAGAAAATAGGAATCAAACGTCATTTCTTTAGTCCCCAAAAGTACTGGGTCATAAGAGCCCAAACAGAAACATACGGGATGGATTTTGAGAACCTCCTTTTTTTTTTTTTTTTTTTTGATATATATACAAGAGTTGTTACATTCTTGTACAGCCACTAGTACACGTAGCGTTTCGGGCAGGTCCCTGGAATACGATCCCCTGCCGCGAAGAATCGTTTTTTCATCCAAGTAAACATTTTACTGTTGCGTTAAACAGAGGCTACAGTTAAGGAATTGCGCCCAGTTAATCCTCCCCGGCCAGGATACGAACCCATGACATAGCGCTCGCGGAACGCCAGGCGAGTGTCTTACCACTATACCACGGAGACTGTTAATAAACAGTCTGATAAATTAGACCCTGATAAATTAGTGGATGATCTGGGTCTCTGGTTTGACCCAGACAGTAATACCATACTAAGGTGTGGAGGTCGCTTACAGCATGCCGATATAGACCTGGAAGTAAAAAAATACAGTGTTTCTCCCGTTACCACATAGTAAGCAGGCTAAGTGAGTTACACATACACAAACCCAACACTTTTCATGGTGTGGTACTAGACACCCTCACCGAAAAGACAAGTTCTGGATTCCTCAAGGTCGCCAGACTGTAAAGTCCATAATCAAATCCTATGTAATCTGCTGGAGGAATGACGCTCGAGTGTGTCCTTATCCAGGACATCCACTACTCCCAAAGGAGCGAGTTGTCCTATTTCGTCCTTTTGAGAGCACTGGTGTAGCCTACACCAGCTCTAACACTAACAAGCACCAAGGGCAATGTTCCAGTGAAGGCATACCTCTGCCTATTCACCTGTGCCACAACAAAGGGGGTACATCTAGAAGTGACTCCCGACATGAGTGCTGAGGCATTCATACAGGCTTTCCGCAGGTTTGCTGCCTGTCGATCTTGCCTCAAGATGATGATCTCAGACAATGGGTCCATCTTGGTCCAACTCAAGAATACCTAACTGCTCTGAGGGAGTATCATTATAGGGCAAACAATCTCTACAACAAAATTAACTTTAATCCTGATGACATTGTTCTGGTGGCCAGTGATGAATCACGCTCAGAGTGGCCTATAGTTCGAATAGTCTCTGTTCATCCAGACAATCAGGGTATCTTAAGAATAGTGAAAGTAAAGTGCCAAAGCACCACTACTCTCAAAACCTTAGAGAAACCTAGTTCCTTTAGAGCTGGCAGAGAAAAGAAGTCGCTCAAAGACCTCCAACACCTGCAGCTCCAGTATGGGACATGACCAAAGAGCCAGAGCTCAACTCCCACAAGCAAAACTAGGCAAGTTCATCCGTCCAGAAAGGACTGACACACAACAGTGCAACTTAAAAAAATAAAACAATATTTTAATTCTGAAGGAGAGGAATGAAGTGTTCAGCAGTTCTAATTATTGGACTTCGACCTGTATTCCCCCCCTCCCCCACCCCACCGGAATTGTTTGAAATCCGACACTAACATACTAATATACTAACATATTAACACACAGTATAACCAACAAACATAGTTATACTAGTTACATTAGTTAATCATAAAAGGATTATAGTGATCGAGATATGTTGACCAGACCACACACTAGAAATTGAAGGAACGACGACGTTTCGGTCCGTTCTGGACCATTCTCAAGTCGATTCATTCTCAAGTTCGCCTGCATATGGATCGAGATATCTGTGACGTCATCTTCAAAACAATCATTTAAGCACTCAACGTGTCTTTAAACTGCTAGTCTAGGCATTAGAATTAATAAAAACAGTATTCTCTATGACTGGTTCTAATATAATTAACAATAAAACTAAAGTCTATGTCCCTAAGTCAATAAGACAGGAAATTAGAACCATATTTTCAGAATGTCAAGAGAGAGGGAGTGCCAGCTCCGACATAGAATGTAAACATAGGCTTCCAGAGAGAGGTCGGCACAACGCAACACTACAAAGATCTCATATATAGATCGCCCAACAGTGATCTTGCCACAGCGACCTCATCCATCAAACAGGGAAGGCATTATATCCATACTAAATGATTTGTAGAGCTCTTATTTCATTGTGTAATTTACTGCTATGGTTATACTGCCTAACAACAACAAAACGAGGTTGAGCCTGGTTTTAATAATAACACAATCTTCATTATTTTAAGTCACATTTATTGACAATAATAAATTTTGAAAAATTGTTAAGGTGTAAATATTCGGCAGGTAACGTGTGACGAACTGGAAAAATCACAGAGAGCTGTTATCGTCTACATGAACCTGCACAGACGCTTACTTGCTCAAACAAAGACAACAGGGCCGTCATTAATCCAGGTCCAGGACGGACCACATGTGGCAATCCAAACATCAGGACTATCAAACTGGTCCTGATGTTGGAGGACCAGCTCTCATACTAACAGTTTAACAGCTGAGGTAAATTATTCCCATTTTATTAACCTATTTTAGCTGTAGTACTAACAATAGAATATTATTTTAGTAGTTTATTATAATTTTCAATTATATAATTAATAGACAACGTACATAACCCCCCACCCCAAACTTGTGATCAGGTAAACACCCAGCAGGATAACTTTTAAAATACTCTCCACTTTGAAGTAATAATTATAAATTAAAATAAATTAAATAAATTAAAAATATAAATAAATTAAAAATATAAATAAATTAAAATATAAATAAATTAAAATATAAATAAATTAAAAATATAAATAAATTAAAAAATATAAATGCCTGCTGGGAAAATACCCCACAGGGACAACAACAGAGTATTTTTTTAGATATTTTTTATATTTCTTTAGGAAAGACATAGGCTAATACAGTGATCTGAACATTGAGCTATTTCCGTGCTTCTTGTGTATATAACAAAAAGAACAACAAGAACTTCTTGTGAACATTATTTAATTACTTAGAGGTGGCATATATGAAAGAGTATGGGTGGATATTAATAGGAGATACTGCATGGTCCCCAGCAGTCCTTCTGCAATTTCATTCTTATGTTTAATATACAATCTTTCAACTGACTGTTTGGTAGAAATAATCAATCTTTGTAAATGGGATTATATAATAAGAAATTGAAAATGGAATTTAATATGCAATCATTAGAAAACTGACTGATTGAGGGAAGTTGAGGACTGGCCGGCTGATGATGTCATTGAACACTAGGGATGACTAGAACTGTGCATCGCCGAGGTAACTAAAATTAGGGATGACTGGTCAAGGCTCTTTAATCTCCAGAAGAAAAATAATGTACGCTAGAACGGAACCATTTAATAACACTTTGACAAATATTGTACATCAGAAGGGTGTAGTCAGAGCGGCTGACGGAAAAGAAAGTGTGCCAAATCGCGGCTGTTGCAGAAAAGGCAAAAAGCCACGATTTGGCACACTTCTCACTAATGACATGTCCTGTTTGCCCTTTGACATGTTCTCCTTGTCCTATGACATGTACTTCTCGGCCTCTGATATGCACTCCTCGTTCTCTTACATATACTCCACGCCCTCTGATATGTACTCCTTGTCCTATGACATGTCCTACTCATCCTCTCACATATACTAATTGTCATGTGACATGTACTTCTCGTCCAATGACATGTACTTCTCGGCCTCTGACATGTACTCCTTGTCCTTTGACATGTACTCTGTGTCCTATGACATGTTCTACTCGTCTTCTGACATGTACTTCTTGGCCTCTTGACATGTCATGCTCGTCCTCTGACATGTACTGCTTGTCCTCTGACATGTACTGCTTGTCCTCTGACAGGTACTGCTTGTCCTCTGACAGGTACTGCTTGTCCTCTGACATGTACTCCTTGTCCTCTGACAGGTACTGCTTGTCCTCTGACATGTACTCCTTGTCCTCTGACAGGTACTGCTTGTCCTCTGACAGGTACTGCTTGTCCTCTGACAGGTACTCCTTGTCCTCTGACATGTACTCCTTGTCCTCTGACAGGTACTGCTTGTCCTCTGACAGGTACTGCTTGTCCTCTGACAGGTACTCCTTGTCCTCTGACATGTACTCCTTGTCCTCTGACATGTACTGCTTGTCCTCTGACATGTACTCCTTGTCCTCTGACAGGTACTGCTTGTCCTCTGACATGTACTCCTTGTCCTCTGACATGTACTCCTTGTCCTCTGACATGTGCTCCTTGTCCTCTGACATGTACTCCTTGTCCTCTGACATGTACTCCTTGTCCTCTGACATGTGCTCCTTGTCCTCTGACAGGTACTGCTTGTCCTCTGACAGGTACTGCTTGTCCTCTGACAGGTACTCCTTGTCCTCTGACATGTACTCCTTGTCCTCTGACATGTACTGCTTGTCCTCTGACATGTACTCCTTGTCCTCTGACAGGTACTGCTTGTCCTCTGACATGTACTGCTTGTCCTCTGACATGTACTCCTTGTCCTCTGACATGTACTGCTTGTCCTCTGACATGTACTCCTTGTCCTCTGACAGGTACTGCTTGTCCTCTGACATGTACTCCTTGTCCTCTGACATGTACTGCTTGTCCTCTGACAGGTACTGCTTGTCCTCTGACATGTACTCCTTGTCCTCTGACATGTACTCCTTGTCCTCTGACATGTACTCCTTGTCCTCTGACATGTACTGCTTGTCCTCTGACATGTACTCCTTGTCCTCTGACAGGTACTGCTTGTCCTCTGACATGTACTCCTTGTCCTCTGACATGTACTCCTTGTCCTCTGACATGTACTCCTTGTCCTCTGACATGTACTGCTTGTCCTCTGACATGTACTCCTTGTCCTCTGACAGGTACTGCTTGTCCTCTGACATGTACTCCTTGTCCTCTGACATGTACTCCTTGTCCTCTGACATGTGCTCCTTGTCCTCTGACATGTACTCCTTGTCCTCTGACATGTACTCCTTGTCCTCTGACATGTGCTCCTTGTCCTCTGACAGGTACTGCTTGTCCTCTGACATGTACTGCTTGTCCTCTGACATGTACTCCTTGTCCTCTGACATGTACTGCTTGTCCTCTGACATGTACTCCTTGTCCTCTGACAGGTACTGCTTGTCCTCTGACATGTACTCCTTGTCCTCTGACATGTACTGCTTGTCCTCTGACATGTACTCCTTGTCCTCTGACATGTGCTCCAAGTCCTCCGTCTAGTCCTTCACGTAAAGTTTGCAATTCTGTCCAAAGCCAAAGAATGAAGGTTATTAGAGAAGTTAGTGCTTATTGTAGTAGTAGTAGTGGTAGAATGCTGATTGTAGTAGTAATGACAAAATGCTGATTGTAGTAGTAGTGGTAGAATGCTGATTGTAGTAGTAGTGACAGAATGCTGATTGTAGTAGTAATGACAAAATGCTGATTGTAGTAGTAATGACAAAATGCTGATTGTAGTAGTAGTGAAAGATTGCTGATTGTAGTAGTAGTGATAGTGACAGTTGTAGTTGATGGTGACAGTGACAGCTGTGGTATTGTTGAAGGTGACAGTGACAGTTGTAGTACTGTTGAAGGTGACAGTGACAGTTGTAGTACTGTCGATGGTGACAGTGACAGTTGTAGTACTGTCGATGGTGAAAGTGACAGTTGTAGTACTGTCGATGGTGACAGTGACAGCTGTAGTGTTGTTGATGGTGACAGTGACAGTTGTAGTGCTGTTGATGATGACAGTGACTGTTGTAGTGCTGTTGATGATGACAGTGACTGTTGTAGAGCTGTTGATGGTGAAAATGACAGCTGTAGTGTTGTTGATGGTGACAGTGACAGTTGTAGTGTTGTTGATGGTGACAGTGACTGTTGTAGTGCTGTTGATGGTGACAGTGACTGTTGTAGTGTTGTTGATGGTGACAGTGACAGTTGTAGTGCTGTTGATGATGACAGTGACTGTTGTAGTGCTGTTGATGATGACAGTGACTGTTGTAGTGCTGTTGATGATGACAGTGACTGTTGTAGAGCTGTTGATGATGACAGTGACTGTTGTAGTGCTGTTGATGATGACAGTGACTGTTGTAGAGCTGTTGATGATGACAGTGACTGTTGTAGTGTTGTTGATGATGACAGTGACTGTTGTAGTGCTGTTGATGATGACAGTGACTGTTGTAGTGTTGTTGATGGTGACAGTGACTGTTGTAGTGCTGTTGATGGTGACAGTGACTGTTGTAGTGCTGTTGATGATGACAGTGACTGTTGTAGTGCTGTTGATGATGACAGTGACTGTTGTAGAGCTGTTGATGATGACAGTGACTGTTGTAGTGCTGTTGATGATGACAGTGACTGTTGTAGTGTTGTTGATGGTGACAGTGACTGTTGTAGTGCTGTTGATGGTGACAGTGACTGTTGTAGAGCTGTTGATGGTGACAGTGACTGTTGTAGTGCTGTTGATGGTGGCAGTGACTGTTGTAGTGTTGTTGATGGTGACAGTAACAGTTGTAGTGCAGTTTAAGGTGATAGTGACTGTTGTAGTGTCGTTGATGGTGACAGTAGTAAGCGTGATGATTGTTCAAGTGTTGGCGCTTGTCGTGGTTGAAAAAGGCTTGTAACGGTATTAAATGTTGTAGTAGCCATGATGGATGTTGTGGTGGTATTAGATGTTGTGGTAGCCATGATGGATGTTGTAGTGGTATTAAATGTTGTAGTAGCCATGATGGATGTTGTGGTGGTATTAGATGTTGTGGTAGTCATGATGGATGTTGTGGTGGTATTAGATGTTGTGGTAGTCATGATGGATGTTGTGGTGGTATTAGATGTTGTGGTAGTCATGATGGATGTTGTGGTAGCCATGATGGATGTTGCGGTTGTATTAGATGTTGTGGTAGCCATGATGGATGTTGTGGTGGTATTAGAAGTAGTGGTAGTCATGATAGATGTTGTGGTAGTATTAGAAGTAGTGGTAGTCATGATAGATGTTGTAGTGGTATTAGATGTTGTGCTCATAATACTGATACAGGACTGCGGGTGTTACATGGCGATGTTTAGTGGTGGCGTTATCAATTATATTATAACACATTAACAAGAGCTTGTACCGTTTACAAGCTGTTACAATATTGCCGTCCATAACACTATTAGATAAGGTTACCTATAATTAAGTAAGATCATAGAGTCTGAAGGAAATATGAATGATAAGAATACCAACACAAATGTAATTTTAAAAACAGTTATACAAGTAGAAATAGTTGTCTTAACATTATATCATTAATAATGGCAAAAAGCATAACATGATTAAATATAGTTTGTTAGTTTAATGACTGGAATAAATCATAAGAAGGGTTTGAACACAGCTAGAACCTGGAACCCTAGAACTTCTGAACACAGCTTTGATGAGGTTGTTAGATTAGAACACAATGGTGATGAGGTTGAACTCAGTGTTGATAGGGGTTGAACATAGTAGTGATGAGGTTGAACGCAATGGTGATAGGGGTTGAATACAATAGTGATGGTGTTGAACACAATAGAGATGTATTGAACACAATAGTGATTGGGTTCTACACAATGGTAATGAGGTTGAACACAATGGTAATATATTTGAACATAGTTATGTTGGGGTTGAACACAATTGTGATAGGGTTGAACACAATTATGATGGTGGATGAACACACTGGAGATGGAGGTTGAGCACAGTGGTCATTGGGTTAAGTACAATGATGGGGTTGAGCACAATGGTGATGGGGGATGCTCACAGTGGTGATGGGATTCAACACAAAGGTGATGGGGTTGAACACAATGGAGAAGGGTTGAAGACAATGGTGAAGGGTTGAACACAATGGTGAAGGGTTGAACACAATGGTGAAGGGTTGGACACAATAGTGATGGGGTTGAACACAATGGTGATAAAGATTGAACACTGTGGTGATGTAGTTAAACTCAATCATTATATAGTTTAACACAGTTGTCATGGGGTTGAACACAATTGTGTTGGATGTTGAACACAATGGTGATGGGGTTCAAGACAATGGTGATTGGGTTGAACATAATCATGATGGGGTTGAACACAATAGTGACTGGAGTTTAAGACAGTGTTGATGGGGTTAAACACAGTGGTGATTGGAATGAATACAATGGTAATGGAGTTGAACACAATGGTGATGGCCTTGAACACAATGATGGTAGGGGTTGAACACAATAAAGATGGTGTTGAACACTGGATTCTTTTCCCAGCAGGAATTTATATTATATACTGTTAATTTAATAACAATATAATTTAAGAGAGCTAATTGAGAATGGACTGTATTTTAGGAATGGACAGTATTTCACTGGTTTGCCCTGCTGGGTGTGTACCTCTCCACAACTTTGGGAGGTTGCACGTACATAGCCTACACCACGAGTGGTGGGAAACAGTACCTAGACTAATAAACATACTATTTGAAAACTAATAGTCCTACTCTAGAGTATCTCTAGAGACGCAAAAGCCTGGTAATAAGCAAAGATTTTAATCAATTAATCTTGGAACCTCGTAGGGAGGAGCACTATTGTGACTTAGGTACCCTCATGGTGAACCAGGTCGACTCGATACTGCCTGATCGTACTGTAGCTGCCAAATAAGTCATAAGTAATACTCTGTTACCACAACACAACATATTTTCCAAGAAGATGGATTTGCATTAATAATTTGGCTTACCCATTTTGTTTAGAGCACCTGCGTTAGAACCATGCAACGTTAAAAAAGATCATGATAATGGCCACTAGCAGAACTACAACAATTACTCATAAACAACACTTCCCTGGTACGATCAGTTCGATGGTTAGGCGAAAATGCTACTCTTCCTGTTTCATGAACTCGGGAAATGTAACTATGTTTGGCAATTAAGAGGAAAACGTGGAAGTGTCTTCTCTGCCAAGCGCTCAAGTCATGCTTCCAGTCTCAATGCTTGGGGTCTAACCTAACAACAAATTAATTATAACTACTGGTTAATACGATAATCTATAACAATTGTTCAGAACAACACTTCCTGACTGAAGACCTCATCAGTTGGGCAGAATTTCTTCTTTTCCTGTATCGCGCAACTCTGGGAAGGTGCACGTGCTAATTATTGTTGAGCGCCAGTGCATGCGAGCGTCTCGGGAGCCATGTGCACACTGGAGTAGTGTGGCGTCTCCTTCCCCAGCTCCGCTTTTGACGTAACCATCAGCAAAGTTTCATATTCGTCATTATTGACTTGGGGATGGAGATTTTGGTTTACTAATTACTTAATTGAAATAAATCTTGAAGAATAATCTCCAGATCGAAGGTGTGAGGGGGATGGGTTGACACCATCTAAACCTTCTACTAGTGTACGTGCACGTGAAGCTCGACGTGCACTGGAGCACGTGAGTAGCCATGCACCCGGACTATATTTGGTAACCCGTACCCGAAACATCCCGTGTACAGGCTCACTGGAGAGCCTAGGTCATCAGCATTCCAAATATGTTACAATGGCCGTTGTAGCACATTTGTGGAAACAGTTAGAGCGAGTAGCGGCTTTTAACTGTAAAAGAGTGAGGGAGGCAGCAGACAGAGAAGCCGGAGGAGCGAGCGGAAAGGCGTGAGGTATCAGTGGCCTCCCGCTCCTTCATCATAGGAACGCAGGCGGCCATCTTGGATGCCATCCCTTACGTGCCAAGGAAGCTGACCTGTGGTTGGCCAAGGAGGTAGGCCGTAGGATTCCTCTCTCTGATTGGCTCGTTTGAGGAGGACAGGTAAAAGCCGGCACTCCTTGCCGCCCGGCATCAAGACGCCATTCTGCGCCAGCCTCTAGACTTGTAAGACGTGGTTTCTCTGGGTCGGCCAGCTCAGTGAAACTACTGTCTCTAGTGGATCTTAGTACATCTTCAGTATCCACCAACATCAACAGGGTTCCGTGGGAACATAGCAGAATCCAGGAACTCGTCGTATTTGTGTGTGATAGCAAGGGAGTATTTTGAACAGATCGTGAGAAGTGGGTAAAAGTTCATACGAGCGGGTGAAACAAACTATAAGTCTGTTTCACCCACTCGTGAAGTTCCCATCTCAGTTATCAGTCAGACTATCTGATCTCCTGCTAGTGTTTTGTAGCAGTGGAGTGATCTGGGAACATTTTGTCAGTGCTCAGGGCAGGTTTCCCATAGAAATTCGTGGGAATTTCGAGAGACATTGTCGTTCACAGTGTTTGCCACCATTTTGTACGTCCGAGGCGCTTCGCCCCGAGCCAGGTACGAAGCTGTCCAAGTGAGGGAGTGTACCAAACGTACCTAGTGGCGAGGGACTCCACGCTGGTCTATTCACAGCTAAGCCTCGCGTACCGCCACCTAGTGAGGGGGTGGTCACCTACTACAACTGTGTGTATGTGAGAGCCGGATGTATAATTGAGTAAGTACCCTGTGTGTATATGGTGATTATTATCCCTAAGCCTGAATTCGAGGTCAGGTGTTCCACCGGCATTGTCTCTGCTAGCATCTTAGAGGTGAAGGGAAGCGTGGGGCGCGTGAGATTTTCACCCCTTATATATGTCCTTGTCAGTGAAGGGAGCACTTGGTCAGTTGTGTGCAGCGTACATGTGTGTGTGTGTGTGTGTGTGGGAACACATTCAGAGTTATCAGACATAGGACCGTTGGGCCGTCCTATAGTGTTGTATACTCCATTCTGGTGGGTAAAGAAATGGGTCGTGTTCTATGTGGTAATTAGAGCACTGTGTGTCATTGCAACCTGGTAGTAAAGTGTTGGGCATGTTCTAATATAGTGAAATTAGAGTACCGTGTGTGTTTGTTATTGCAAAGGGGTTGTAATCTGTTGGACCATGATTGTTAATAGTGTTGATCAATCACTGTGTTATTATAGTTTAGTAAATTGTATGGGCCATATTCTAGTGGGTTAGAGCACTGAGAATGTTATTTATTGCTGTTCTGCATTAATTGTAATTGCAACTAGATTGTAATTGTGTTAAAATCACCGGGTGTTGATCTATTGTGTCGTGGGTGAACTTGTCTTTGGGACGAGTACTTGGTATTATTTTCCTGTGTATTTGGTTGTCATCGAAGTCCAGTATTCAGTAAACGTTGATTGAGAGGCAATTAATGTAACGCAACCAAGGGAACACCCATTTCTTATAGAAAAATTGTCCTAAGACAATTTGAGTAACGTAAGATACGGTGTGGTTAATTATTGTCCAAGGAACAGCTGTTTTGGTCGGCCACTTCAGGGGAAGTGAGTCCCACCTGAGCTGCTGTAGGGTGAAGACGTGTCGTCTGACCGCTCCGGCAGTTTGGGGAGGTTGCCGTTTTCGCCAGCAGGGGGTGTGGGTGTCTCTACCCTCCCTGCTGTCCCTGACTGGTGTTGACGTGGTGCTTTTGCGATGAGCGGCCATCATCCCGCTGTCGAGAGGGTAAACTCCGTGGGGTTGGAGTTTACCTGCCGTGCAGGGTATCCTCTCGTTGAGCAGGTCATGTGTGACGTGCTACATGTCCCGGTCGAGGAAATCTACGGGGTTGAGCTGGTGACTGCTCGCCGGGTGATCATCAAGTTTGTGGGCGAGGAGGCGTACCGTGGATTTCTCTGGCGGTACGAGGGCCGTACCTTGAAGTCTCCGTGGTGTAGTGGTAAGACACTCGCCTGGCGTTTCGCGAGCGCTATGCCATGGGTTCGTATCCTGGCCGGGGAGGATTTACTGGGCGCAAATCCTTAACTGTAGCCTCTGTTTAACGCAACAGTAAAATGTGTACTTGGATGAAAAAACGATTGTTCGCGGCTGGGATCGTATTCCAGGGACCTGCCCGAAACGCTACGCGTACTAGTGGCTGTACAAGAATGTAACAACTCTTGTATATATCTCAAAAAAAAAAAAAAAAGTTGTTGGATGGCACTGGTTCTGTGGCCATTTCTGATCGGAGTGGTGCCGTGACGTATGTGAGCGTTCATGGGGTCCCCATGGAATTAATTCCCTGAGTCCCTTCTCCGGCGTTTCTTCCAGAGATTTGGCTCCGTCGTCAGTGTGAGGATGCACTAGCTATCTTCTGGAAAATATGCGGGAGTGAAGACGAACATTCGTACCCTCGGGTTGCGCCTGAGGTCGGACATGCCATCCTCTGTCCGACTTTTAGGGTACTACGTGTGGGTGTATTATGCCCGGCAACCCCGTACTTGTTTCCAGTGTGGCATGTTGGGGCATCAGGCTGCACGATGCACTGTGGATCCGGTTGCTCCGGTCAACTTGTTCCGGGAAGAGGATTTCCCGCCGCTCCCTCTGGAGGAGGTCTCCAGGGATGAGGAGGTGAGCGTTCAGTTAGTGGGTCTTGCAGTGCCATCGGATGGTCTACGTGCTCCTGTCACTGTCTCCGCTGCTCCTGAAGGCCTTCCTGGTGATCACTGTGACGCGCCGCCGTCTTCTCCTTCGTCTTTGGCTGCTGCGCCTGGCCCTATGATCTCGCCTCGGGTCCCGGATGTGCTGGGTGCTGGGGTGGCTGCGGAGCCTCCTGCTGTGTGTGGGCCGGTTCCCCCTGTGGTAGAGGCTGCTGCCGTTCTGCGTCGGGCGTTGGTTCGTCCGGCTGGAGGGACCCGTGTTTCTGGGTCCGCTTCCGGCTCTGACGATCTCCGGCCAGAGCCCAAGCGTTCCAGGCGTTCGTCGTCTGCCTGGGACGATGTTGGGGAATTCGATGACTGTGGGTCCTTGGGAGTTGACGGTGTGGAACCGGATGTGTCGCTGTCTCCACGGTTGGTGGTGGCAGAGGTTCATGTGCCTGCTGATGCTGGTACCCAGGTCTCGGGGGTACCTTCCGTTCCTTCTCCGCCTGGGGACTCTCCGCAGTGGGAGGTGGTGGCTCCCGCTCCCAGGAATGGTGTGGTTGCTGGTGCTGGGCGTGGCCTGGTTGTGACATTACGGAAGGATGGGCACTGCCCTGGTTCCCTGCAGTCGTCTGGTGGTGTGCCCGTGGCCGCTGGTGTCCCGGTGGTGGTGTCCTATGTCCGGCCCCCACCTGTGAGGGTACGCTTTGGGGACCTGGGGACGTGTTGCCGGCGTCGGTGATGCCGCCGGGTCACTGGTCGCCGATTGCTGAGTTACTGCTGAATGACGATCCGGGGGAATTTCATGGTGGGGGTGTTCCCATGATGTGGGGGATTGTGGCAGTTACTCGCGTCAGAAGTGATACCATTTGGGTCCCCCTGCTTACGGGTGTTTGTTTCTAGGGTTCCGGATGACATGGCGTCCCCGGTGGGTGAACGAGACCCTGGGGGGTGGTTACGTTGGGAGGCGTTCAATGTGCGATTCCCACGGGTCTTGTTCCCGGGCAAGTATGTCCGCTGATTCCCTGTTTTTTTTTTTTTTTTGTTTTTGCTATTTGTAGTGTTGTGTGCCCCTCTGGCGTTTTGTTTGCCCTACTGTTTTCTGTGCCCGTGCCTCTCCCTTTGTTTGTGGAGGGGCCGGTGTTTTGCAGAGTGTATTCTCTTCATGTATTACCATGTTGTATTGTGTTTTCTTTTTAATTTTCCTTTTGTTTATATTTATGATTTGTTTGTGTGTGCATTGTCTTGTGTTGTTTCATTTTATACATTATGATGTGTTTTGTTGTCGGTCCTCCCGGCTGGTGCTTGTTTGTTTTGTTTTATATTATTCCTAAGTTTTGTTTATTTACTTATATTATTTGTTTGTTTGTTATTGTTTTATAATTTGTCTTGATGTATGCTGTCTTTCTCATGCGTTCCTTCATTTTTGCTAATTATTGTCCTGTGCTGTTGGTCCTTCTGGCCGGTGGCTTCTATATTTGTTTTTGTTTTCTGTGATATTTTATTGTATTTATTGTCTTTACCTTGGATGCTTGCATGTAAAAAAAAAATAACAATAAAAAAAAAATTAGGGGAAGTAAGATAGTCTTGTTGGAATTCCTGGAAGGCTGAAGTCTTGCATTTTAAGAACTGTCTGTTGCATATTATCTGTCAGTTGGACAGGTAGTTAAGGGTTCAAGGAAGTCGAGATAATTAACTCTGATCAGGGTTGATCGACTCACACGAAGGCTCCATTGCCTCATTAACGAAACATCGGTTACGTTAATGAAATATCTGTCAGTGGACAAGTAATTTGATTGACTCTTGGGAGAGTAACGTCATTGTAAAGTAATGTAGACGTGGATATTGGTTATCGGTCCGTGGGATTGCATTACTTGCCTGAGATCATCGGAGGTATGGAAGGTCCAAGAGGGAATTCATGTCGTTGATGTTATACTGCTGAGCCAGTGTGAAAGGTGACGTATTTGTGTATTAATTAATTATTGATCTTCGGGATAGTAATTAATTGCTCGAGGGTAGTCAAGGGTGATTGTCCTTCTCTTAGCATTTTGGACATAGATATTGTCGTAAACTATCGAGGGGCGATAGTAACCGATGACGTAACTCGTTCTGGGATTAATCAGCTGTCCGTAGTACAGGGATTAATGGGGATTACCTACTGAATGTTCGACGGGTTGAGTGTTTGTGTAATTCCGAGTTACTAGTGACAGTTGTACAGGTTGATTTGACAGTGGGAGACAAGATTAAGTTAACGTAAGTGTTACTTTGATATTAATGTAATCAATTAGTCATTGATTGTTGATCGTCCGAGGAACGGAGTGTTAACATAAGAATTTAATAAAGGAGGGTTGCTGGAGTTGCCAGTAACCCCATTAGTCATTGTAATGTCATTGATAGGCTGCTAGTCTGATTGCATTGCAACAGCCAGTGTAGGGGCGGGCTGCAAGTAGCGTAGAGTAACTGGAGGTGTGTCTCCTGACCTACCTTGTTGTTGTTGCATAGTGATTATAGATTAGTATATCTTGCTTGCTTGATTGATTCTTCTGTGATCACTCAGTATGTTCAAGTTAGTTAATTTATGGAGCACTTACGGCTGGTGTCTAGCTGTCAGTAAAGGTGTCACAGGAAGGATTTCGAGTAAAGTCAGTGATATTTCTTTCATTGTTGTAGTAGTTAGTACTTTGTTGAATAACTGTATTGTTATGTTAAACACTGTCTTTTCAAACACCCCACACAATGTATTGCTCTATATGTGTTCTGCCATGACGCCTGAAACTACTATTGCTATTCATATTGAGACTGCTTTTGAGAACTGGGCTGAATTCATACCACCACACAACAAAGTAATACGTTGTGAGAGCACATGACCTGCTCGTTTGATTCGCCTCAGCGATTTGCAAAAGTCGACGGCCAAAGTGAAGAGGATTTCAAACTTTTCAGGTCTCGACGTTTGCTCGCGCTTTGTGAATTGTTCATCTATGGTCCCCAGAGTGAGGAATGAGCTGCTTCTCACTTGAGCTGAAAAGATCGTGAGGGGAGGGTGTGCTTCGTTTGAGCCCCTTGGTGAAGAAGAACCCCAGTTTGATGTACTTTCAAGAGGAAGGAAGTGGGCAGACGTTTCGACTGAGCAATAAGTCTGCAGACGTGCCAGCTTGAGTCGAGAACTGCAGAAGGTGTTGTGGAGCAGTTAAAGCAGTTCTGTGGGTAGCCTGAGGCGCCTTGAGTGTCGCCGCCCCATCAATGAGCGCCGCAAGTGAACAAATTCTGTGGTAAGCCAATTCTAACCAGTTTACAGTGATTATCTGCTGTTGGTCATGTGCCCAGCGACCGTAGCGAATGTTTGTTGATATGTTAGGCATCTTTGATAAGGCAGAAGAAGGCCAAAATAAGAGAGTAAAGATGGAGGAACGTCCTGGAGGGCGGAGCAACGTCCATCCCCTCCGAACACTTGTGGGTGACTATTGTATTGTGGGTTGATGTCGTGGTGTGTCGTCGTTGATCCTCCTTTATGGACAACCCAACCCAAAACTCGGTAGAGTGCTTATACTTTACCAGAAGATCACCCTGGGCGCTTCTGGCTCTTGGAAAGGGGCTCAACGTCACACGTTTAGGGGATGCGGCTCCAATACTTAGCCTCGTTGTCACGTGCACACACCCACTCGAGCCGCTGTGACTCCCCACTCTCTCCTTATGTGATATGATCTTCTCAATCCCCTTTGACTTATTAGTTTTCCATTCTACCCTGTCCACAGCGGTGGTTCTTGGTTCTTTCTCTCTCTCTCCTTCTTTCCTACTTCCTGGGAAGCCTCACTAGGACAAGGGCAAACACCAGCAAATTTGAATCCATTTACTGGACAAAGCACATACACGATACATACACACATATAATAATAATGAATCCTACACTCTATACTATTTTAGTCAAGTTGCACTCCGACACCATCAGAACTCTATCATCTGCTTATCAAGTGGTATCCTCTCTTATGATTCACCACCTAATACTACCAACCTCCTCAAGTAGGTCAAGTCTTATAACACAATGTTGCACTATCAGCAAGACAATATATATATATGAACACATACAAGGAAAACCAGCATATGGCTGCAATAACATAAATTTTAGTATAAATGCTCCTTGATATACAACAATGATCAATCGATCGCCCTATCAGTCCTTGAACACATATGTATGTCTCTGCAAACAATCCAGCTTACGACCGTAACTCTATACTTCAGTATACGTTCTCCTTGGCACAAAAATGGCAAACAATCACTCACCTTTCACTGCGTCTTACACGCTAATGACAACCAAACACTCCACCAACTCCCTACAAGTAATCAACCAGAACGTCCCTTCCACATCTGGAAGCTCACCTCCCTGATCTCTGCAGGTTTTTCCGGGTTTATCTACCAGGATCCTCCGCAGCTCTTCCAGGCTGCTACACCATGAAGTTTCCTCGTGCAACTATGGTGCTCCACCACTTCTACTAGGGTCCTCCACAGCTCTCCTGGCTGCTATACCATGAAGTCTTCCTTGATCAACAATGATGCTTCACCATTGGCATCACAGAAGCATGTGAAACTTCATTCCACTACTCCTCTTCTCACAGCTTGAGATCCTCTTCCTCACTGTATGGCTGCTCTCCCACAGAGCTCAGTACTTTCCACTACCTTGGAGTCTCATCAACTACTCCCTCTGTGCTGGCTTCGAAGTTCTCAGCAACTTCTTCCACAAAGACAAACCTGCAACCCATTGACACGCCAATAAAAATGTTTCCTTATAAACACATAGACGAAATAATCCACACAATATGTTTGCATCCAACATCTATCTGCTCTCTACATACTGTGAGAGTGGACTCCCCCGTTTGGGCTGGTCCATGTTCCCCGGCCAGGCGGTCCTCCTCACTCTGGGAGGGTCCTCCGCCGCCAGTCAGTTGGTTTCAGGCGGTCGACGGGAGAGGACGTGCTTCTCGTCCCTCCAGCTGTCTCTCTCATCTCCGTCCTCTTATTTAGGCTTCCTGCCTTACCAAAACATGTCTAACTTATCAATAAACATTCGCTACTGTCGCTGGGCACACGACCAACTACAAGTAATCACTATAAACTGGCTTAAATCGTGCTTACCACAGATTGTCTAGTCGAGGGGCACTCTCCCCTCTGATGGAGTCCGATCAGGGCGCTCCCACGGCCCACGATTATGTCTCTGGGCAGCTTAATAAACTCTCCTCGCCATCCAGGACTTGAGACCAAACGTTCCCAGCTCGATTCCAAAGCTGGAACGTCTGCACACTTCCTTCCTATTGAAGGTATATCACACGGGTTCCTTTCTAATGGGAGCTCAAACGGAGCACAGCTTCCCCTTACGATGTCTAGTACTCAAGTGGGGGTCAAAGCCCTCCAGAAGCTAGCCTCACGCCTCCAGCAAATTATCCACATGTCATAACCAGTCACTTATCTAATTTCTTATTCACTGCCCCTAATCTCAAATTGTTTATCAAATCCAACCAACTATTTTACATCTGTGTCTTCACCTCTATATTTCCTAGACCGTCTAGTCAGGTCAGGCTTGATAGAATAATTCTCAAAGGGGAGACTCGTTTTTCGGCTGCCTGGGATCATAATAGTGACTGAGGGAGAATTAGCTCCTGCCGGAGGAGCTGCCTCACCTGGCAGGCGGAGGAACCTCCCAGCGGGAGGGGGAAGACGGATTCGTCCAGGATGGGGTAGTCCATACTCACAGCATGTAGAAAGCAGAGAGATGTTGGGTGGAAACATTAATTGTGAGGTTTATTTTGTTTATGTGTTCATAGGGAAACATTTTTATTGGTATGTTGATGGGTTGCAGGTTTGTCTGGGGAAGGAGTTGCTGTGAACTTCGAGCCAGCAGAGGAGTAGTGGATGAGACTCCAAGGTTATGGAAGGTACTGAGCTCTGTGGAGGAACAGCCATACAGTGAGGAGCAGGACCACAAGCTGTAAGAAGAGGAATAGTGAAGGGAAGTTTCACAAGCTTCTGTAATACCAGTGGTGGAACATCATTGTGGTTCAGGGAAACTTCGTGGTACAGCAGCCTGGAAGAGGTGCAGAGGATCCTGGTAGATAAACCTGGAAGAACCTGAAGATATCAGGGCAGTGAACTCCCAGATGTGGGAAGGAAGTTCTTATTGACCACTTGTAGGGAGTTGGTAGAGTGTTTGGTTGTCATTAGCATGCAAGACGCAGTGAGAGGTGGGGTGATTGATTACCATTTTTGTGCCAAAGAGTTTTTATACTGAAGTATAGAGTTACAACTGTAAGCTGGATTACCTGCAGATATATGTATATATATATGTATATATATATATATATATATATATATATATATATATATATATATATATTTATATATATATATAATATATATAGATATAATATATATATATATAATATATATATATATAATATATACATATATAATATATACATATATAATATATACATATATAATATATACATATATAATATATACATATATAATATATACATATATACCTAGAAGGGGTACCACCTCTGGTGCAAGTGTAGGGACCCATAGCCTCGGAGGAGAAAATAAAGAGTACTCAGAGAAGACCTTGTTGATCCTTACATATATATATATATATATATATATATATATATATATATATATATATATATATATATATATATATATATATATATATATATATATGTCGTACCTAGTAGCCAGAACGCACTTCTCAGCCTACTATGCAAGGCCCGATTTGCCTAATAATCCAAGTTTTCCTGAATTAATATATTTTCTATATTTTTTTTCTTATGAAATGATAAAGCTACCCATTTCATTATGTATGAGGTCAATTTTTTTTTTATTGGAGTTAAAATTAATGTAGATATATGACCGAACCTAACCAACCCTACATAACCTAACCTATCTTTATAGGTTAGGTTAGGTTAGGTAGCCGAAAAAGTTAGGTTAGGTTAGGTAGGTTAGGTAGTCGAAAAACAATTAGTTCATGAAAAATTGGCTTATTAGGCAAATTGGGCCTTGCATAGTAGGCTGAGAAGTGCGTTCTGGCTACTAGGTACGACATATATATATATATATATATATATATATATATATATATATATATATATATATATATATATATATATATATATATATATATATATATATATATATATAGTAAATATATATGTGTACATACAAACGAATGGGGGTGGTAGGAGAAGATAATATTAGTGTTCAGTGAGAAACCACAAGGTCTCCTCTGAATACTTTTTATTTTCTTCTCCGAGGCTATTATATTGTCTTTCCTGTAGACATATATTATTAAATATGACCGAAAAAGTAAGATTAATAATTCTAACACGAATTTTCTCAATGTTTCTTACATTTCTTTTCACTGTTGATGGTAACTGAAAAATCAATTCTCCAAAATTCATTTTTATTTCTAGTCTGACGCGACACTTGAACGCGTTTCATAAAACTTATTACATTTTCAAAGACTTTAGTTTACACACACACAACTATAACTGAATCGAGTTTAAAACAGCTTCGATTTTATACCTGCATTTGGGTGAGGTGATATGTTACAACAGTTTTGGATGAGGTGAAAACAAACTTCCATTTGTTTTCATAAATGGAAGTTGGCACATTCCTATGTTTGTTTCCTTAGTGTAGAGTACACTAAGGAAACAAACATAGGAATGTGCCTCAATGCCAACAGTGACTGCCCAGATAGGTACAAGAGGAGTGTCGTTAACGCTTATGTCGACCGTGCTCTCAGCCACAGCTCAGGATGGAAGGAAGTCGATGAAGAACTCTGTAGGGTAAGGCAGGTCCAAGTCAACAACGGCTTCTCCAATGGTTTCGTTGAAGACATCATAAGAAGGAAGGTGAAACGCCATGCAACCTCTGAAGAGACAACTAACACAACACCTGTAACCCCTATTAGACTATTTTACAGGAACTTCTTTTCCACAGCTCATAAAACGGAGGAGAGGGTCTTGAAAGATATTGTTAATAGAAACGTTATCCCTACAGACAAAAATTAGAAGATACAGTTGACGATCTACTATAAAACCAAGAAAACTGCCAACCTACTCATGAGAAACTCTCCAGACACAAAGCAGAACGCTTTAAAAGAGACAAATGTCGTCTATGCCTTCAAATGCCCACTTGGGGACTGTAAGCCTCAAAGAATTCAGTATATAGGCAAGACAACAACATCGCAACAGGGCTCCATTCAGGAACATATAATCTCTTCCCACAACCAGACCATCACCAGAGAAGTCTTAACAAAAAACACGGAAATTATCGATAGATACAGCGATAGCAGGCGGCTAGATATCTGCGAGGCACTACACATTAAGAAGTTGACACCAGCAATCAAAAGCCAATTAATGCACAACTATATTCTACCCACTTCAAGACTCCACACCAACATAGAAGCATCAAGAAATATGGGCCAATAGGCCCTCTGCAGTTACTTCCATTCTTCCCTTAAACTTACAAAATATTATACCCATTGTTTCGTGTTCTGTCTTGTGTTGAAAGTTTGTTTTCACCTCATTCAAAACTGTTGTAAAATATCACCTCACCCAAATGCAAGTATAAAATCGATGCTGTTTTAAACTCTGTTCAGTTATAGTTGTGTGTGTGTAAACTAAAGTCTTTGAAAATGTAATAAGTTTTACGAAACGTGTTTAAGTGTCGCGTCAGACTAGAAATAAAAATGAATTTTGGAGAATTGATTTTTCAGTTACCATTAACAGTGAAAAGAAATGAAAGAAACATTGAGAAAACTTGTGTTAGAATTATTAATCTTACTTTTTCGGTCATATTTAATAATATATGCCTACAGGAAAGACTGCTACCAAAAATATATATATATATATATATATATATATATATATATATATATATATATATATATATATATATATATATATATATATATATATATATATATATATATATATATATATATATATATATATGTTGTTGAATATGACCGTAAAGGTAAGATTAATAATTCTAACACGAATCTTCTCAATATTTCTAATGTTTTTCTTCACTGTCGGTGATAATAAAAATAACAATTCTCCAAAATTCATTTCTTAATTGGCTGACGCCTGAACACGTTTCGTAATTCGTATTACATTTTCAAAGACTTAATTTACACACATATTCTTCGTACTTATACTCTATTGGATGGGTGATGACCGAAAAGGTAAGATTAATAATTCTAACACGAATCTTCTCAATATTCCTAATGTTTTTCTTCACTGTCCTTACCTACCTTGAGGTTACCTTGAGGTGCTTCCGGGGCTTAGCGTCCCCGCGGCCCGGTCGTCGACCAGGCCTCCTGGTTGCCGGACTGATCAACCAGGCTGTTGGACGCGGCTGCTCGCAGCCTGACGTATGAGTCACAGCCTGGTTGATCAGGTATCCTTTGGAGGTGCTTATCCAGTTCTCTCTTGAACACTGTGAGGGGTCGGCCAGTTATGCCCCTTATGTGTAGTGGAAGCGTGTTGAACAGTCTCAGACCTCTGATGTTGATAGAGTTCTCTCTCAGAGTACCTGTTGCACCTCTGTTTTTCAACGGGGGTATTCTGCACATCCTGCCATGTCTTCTGGTCTCATGTGATGTTA